TAATGTTTGTACAATTTATTTCATACCTCAGGTTGTACAATTGCTATAAGCTCACCCTTTATTTTAAAATAGAATCTGGAAATCTGGGGAACATTTAACCCTGGGCCAACTAACTGCCCTTAAGCCCTTCTCCCCCAGACACCCATGGGCAATGAAGATGGAGTGTGGCTTATATCAGGTGGTACAATATATTTTGCTGGCCCTGACATTTGGTAAAAGTGCAGGAGCCCTGTCCTCTTTTCCCATCTGGCAACCCTAGCTGATGAGGATATTGCTTGTTGCTACCTGAAATGCTTCCCCTGATCATTTCTGAAAGTACTGTACAACAGCTAAGACTATGGGATTAAACCATACTTTCTCCCCTAGTCGAAGTCAGTGCACAACCTTATTGTGCATGGCAGGATTGTGAGAAACACAGCAAATATGTGCTTTCTTCTTGGCAGCTGATTCTCTCCTGCCACTCATGTTTAAAGGAGGAGCAAAGTTCAGGTAGAATCAAGAGTCATTTTGGACTTGGGTGTAGCCTAATTCAGAAACATAACCCATGGCATGGACAGCCGCTCAGAAACATAGCCATGTGAAGCATCCATGTGGCAGGCCATGAATATGTTTCCTTCATGTGGTACCAGAACGGCAAGGGAATTGAACAGAGAACACAAAGGGCTAAAAAAGTATGACTAGGAAAAACCTGATCCAGAGTAAGAACAGAGAAAAAAGATTGAGAATGAAGCCCATGATGAGCAACCAGAGATTTGGATGTTGTGATGCCTGAACAGAATAAATATATGTGTTTATCCTCATGTGACAATATCTAGACGCTCATTACAATGCCATATGGACACCTCAGTTTTGCATAGATAACTAAGCTGCAAAGGAAAATAAGATCATAATGCTATCTATTTGCCTGTACCACTAACATATTTCAGGGGTAGGGGAGATATTGATTGTTTTCTAACAGAGTTAGATGCCGATCTATTTGGGCACTACCATACCAAGCCTAGTTTGCCATCAGTCAGACCTCACCTAGGTGCTTTCTTACTTGCAACCAGTCCAGTCAGTTTCCTTGTCCTTTGTCTGTGTTGCACCTCACAGAACTCAACATAAAGGAGGATGGGAACAAAACTAAAGTTACAGTACCTGACTCTGCCTGTTATTGGCATTGTCTCCACCTGCTGGAGTGTCTCTGTCATCTGCCCCAATGGGCACCAGATACAGCTTAGCAGAATAGCTCTTTAAGAAACAGAGAGGGAAACAGAACCACCTTCAGGGCCTTTAATGCAAGAGTCATTGTCAAACTACTTCATCTCCTTCAGCCAACTGTCATGGGGTTACCTGCTCCTCTGCTTCCCCACTTTCTCTGTCCTTTGCCAAAAAGTGTCCTTGCATTCAGGTTGTTCTCCCCCTCCTTCCACTTCAGAGCAGCTGTATAATTCCCCCACCCCATCATTTTAGTCCTCACACCTGTCTGCCCAACAGTGAAAATGTTGTGAACTCGATATCACGGCAGCTTGGCTAATGCCTGTGGGAAGGGTTTATAAGTGACGGTGTGCAGCAGGCAGCTGTTGACAGGTGACAGTCAGGTTTGAGCATATTATGTTCCAGATTACAGGCATCCATTTAGCTATGTTCCCCCTGTGATTTCTGATATAAAATGGGTACTTTTATGCTGTTGGAAAAATCTGTTCCTTATTCAACAAATAATTATTGTCTTCCCTGATACTATCTAAAAAAGGGAGGAGGGTAAAATAAGGCATGGCAGTTAATTATTATCATAGTACTTTCCCTGTTTAGAATGACTAATATGGTGTCGCATTCATCTAACACTAATCCTTTGAGGCAAGACACTATTATTCCAAGTTTACAGATTGAGAACTGAGGCTGACTTTGTTGGTTGTCAACCAGGAAATTCCTGAAGGGTTTTGAACAAAGATCTTCCGCAGTAAAGAAAGGGTTTCAGGAGAGAACTCTAATTTAATTTATAACCTCGCCCTGACAAGGAGAGGCACCTATGCACTTCTTCTTCTTTTTTCTTCTTCTTCTTCTTCAAATTCCACTATTGCTCCCAAATGAGCCCAAAGCAGCAAACACATAAATAAGAAAACAAAACAGTAAAATATCTAAGAACAATTGCAATACAGATGCAGACTGGGGAAGATCAAAAGGTTTGTTGGAAGAGGAATGTCTTCAGTAGCCAAAAAGACAGCAGAGAGGGGTATCTGTCTAATATTTCAGGGGAGAGAATTTCAAAGGCTGGGTGTCACAACACTAAAGGTGCAGTTCCTACATTGTGCAGAACGGACTTCCTGATAAGATGGTATATTCTGGAGGACCTCACTTGCAGAGTGCAGTGATCAGTTGGGTATATAAAGGATGAGATGATACTGCAGGTTTACACACCTTTACACACCAAAGCCAAATCAAAACAATCTTTTAGCAATTCTTAGCAATCCTGTGATGCAGATTGGGTTGAGACAATGATGGGCCCAAGGTGACCCAGTGAACCTCACGCAGTTTTGTGCCTTATTTGTACCTCAATAAAAGATGGGCCACACTCAAAGGGTAAGGTGGCCAGATACAAAAGCAGACAGGGCTCCTTCCCCTTTAATATTTGTGTGCACAAGGGGAATATCAACAGGTTCTGTTTGCATGATAAAGTATACCTATTGAAATTCCCTCAGCAACACAACAGTTAAAGGGAGTCTTGTCTTCTTCTAAACTTGCCCACCTTATCAGAGGGTGGAAATCTACCAAGCAGAACAATTGAAAAGGCACATCTGTGTATATCTTTTTTTTGTTTGGCTTCCCCCGCCCTTTCCTCGAGCAGCCGTAAAGGTTTTGCTTTGAACGGTGTCAGTCCTGGGAACTTGATAGTCTGGGCACCTGATGGGCTTTTCATTCTCTTCTTTGTGTCTAGTTGGGAGCAGGTGTGCACGCAGCTTCTTGCAACAATGTCTGCACAGGCAGCCCAATTATATTCTGGAGTTAAATGTGTCTAAGTAATAATGGGGTGGCAAGGGGAAGAATCCCGTGCCCCCTGCTTTCCTTCCACCAATCAATAACACTGCTTGCCATGGGTGAGAAGTGAACATTTGGATTGCATCTTCCTAGTTAAGATGGGCCGCTTTGGAAAAGTGACCCTGGGCCTTCTTTTTAACAGCAGTTTCTGCCAAGCAGAGATTAAGCAGGTGGTGCTTTTCCCACCACTCATCTCTGTGCTGGGAAAACTCTCACCTGCTACACGTTAGGTTGATGGCAAGGCTGTAAGAGCAGGACTAATAATGATACTAGAACCTTCTAGGGTGGTGAGGTGGAAAAGACGACAGGGCACCTGAACTTTCAGTAGCTTTGGAGAAGAGGAGATTTTAGCTGTTTGTACAACAACAAAGGCACAGGAGCCCTCTTGGAGCCAGGAGTTAGTAACATGGCTTCTCCCCCCAAATCCTGAGAGCTGTATTTGGTTAAGTGTGCGAGGAATTGTAGCTCTGGGAGGAGTAAACTACAGTTCCCAAATTTTGGTGTGTATGTGTGTGTGTCATGGAGCTGTGGCTGCTAAAGTGGCTAGTAAATGTGTTTTAAAGGCACAGTGTGGATGTGAGCTTATACAGCAGTCTGCATCAAACTCAGAACCCAACTTTGTGCTCTCTACAAGGAAGAAAGACCAACTTGAATTCAATGAGCCTCATTGAAGTAAGTGTGCATCCTCAGACCACTTATACAACACATATATTTTCCTATATTTGAGTGTAAATCATTGGGATAGAATGTATATTTGATTTCACAAGCTTTCTATAATACATTAACCTGCACAAGCGAAAAATATGCTTAAAAGAGTCTGTACACATATACATAGAATCATACAATTAATTGTAGAGTTGGAAGAGACAACAAGGGTCATCTATTCCAATTCCCTGCAATGCAGGAATCATAGCTAAAGAATCCTTGATAGAAGGCCATCTAATGTCAGTTTAAAACCCCCAATGAAGGCGAGCCCACCAAGTTCCAAGGTAATACTACTACTACTTTTATTATTTATACCCTGCCCATCTGGCTGGGTTTCCCCAGCCACTTCGGGTGGCTTACAGCATATATAAAACATAGTAAAATAGCAAACATTAAAAACTTTCCGAAACAGGGCGGCCTTCAGATGTCTTCTAAAACTTACGCAGTTCTTTATCTCCTTGACATCTGAAGGGAGGGTGCCACTACCAAGAAGGCCCTCTGCCTGATTCCATGGTTGAACAGCTCTTATCCTCAGGAAGTTCTTCCTAACATTTAGTCCGAATCTCCTCTCTTGTAATTTGAATCCATTGCTTTGGGTCCTATCCTCTGGAGCAGCAGAAAACAAGTTTGCTACCTTACGAAAAAGAAAAAGGGGGTTGGGACCAAGCTTGCTCCATCTTCCATGTGGCAGCCCTTCAGATATTCAAAGATGACTATCATATCACCTCTCATTCCCGCCTTTTCCAAGTTAAACATACCCAGCTCTTCAACCGTTCCTCATAAGGTTTGGTTCCCAGACCCTTGATGTTCCAGCTTGTCAATACCCTTCTTAAATAGTGGTGCGCACATCTAGACACAGGATTCGAGGTGTGGTCTGACCAAGGCTGAATAGGGCAGTACTATTACTTCCCTTGGTCTGGATACTAAAGCAGTCTAGAATTGCATGTCATTCCGTGGGCCCCAATTTAGGAGTTTCTTTCCCAGTATACTTTGGGTGTAAACTCTTTCTTTGGCCTTCTTGGCTCAGTTTTTAAAAAACAGTCTTGATTCCCCACCCTCACACCATTTTGATTCAGGGTAAGTTTGCAAATCGTTGTGTTGTTGTTGTTGTTTTTAAAAACCCAACCCTCCATAGTTGTCAACTTTCCCCTTTTCTTGCGAGGAATCCTATTCGGAATAAGGGAATTTCCCTTAAAAAAGAGGAAAACGTTGACAGCTATGCTTGGCTCCAACCATTGGATGCTGCTGCGCTGCTGGATGCGCATTCGTAATGTAGAAGCATTGAATATAAACAATAGAATCGAAACCTGCGTAGAAACCTCGGCTTTCCGCACGCGCTTTGCATTGTTCCTGCCGGAAACTTTCCTCTGCGCGACCACCCTCCTTCCTCCTCTTCTTCCTCCTCCTCCTCGTCCCCTCCCGACCCCCTGCTGATATTTCCTTCTTTTTTCTTTCTTTTTAGGTGATTGAAGGGGGAGCCGGCACAGGCGCTTCCCCTTTAAATTCCAGCTGTGTGGCTAGGAAACAGCTCTTCTCGTTGCAAAGCGCTGGGCTGGGGCTGCTGGTGTGAGACTGTCCTTCCACTTCCTGGCTCCGGCAGCCGGGAGAAGATCTGATCGCCCCGCCGAGTCCTCGGGGGAGAGAGAGAGGAAGGCAGAGGAAGGAAGGGGGCAGGCGGCGCGACTCCTCCAGACAGAGGGAGAGAGAGAGAGAGGCAGCCGCACAGCCGGGGGTACCTTTTGGCTCCGGTTTCTCGGCTGCCCTGGGATCGGTAGCCTTCGCGGCATGTGCAAGAGAAGGATGGAGGTGGCTGGTTTCTAAATCATCCTGAAGACTATTTCCATAGTAACCTGCCGAAGTGGTGCAATTTGAGCGAACTGAGGCTTTCTCTCCGCACTTCCAGGATGATATCTGACAGGTAAGGCTTCCGGAGGACCCTTGGACCGCTGGTCTTTCTCTCGAGGGTCTATAAATATCCATATGTCTGTGTCTCGATTATCCTATGTTTCCAAAGTTGTCTTTAGGGGGGGAAAATCGCTTTCCCCCAATTTGATTTATTTACCCGTATTAAAGAAATGATGTAATTTCTGGGCTCCTAACCCTTCCTACATTTTTATTAAAAATAAAGACAGCTGGGGGTGGGTGGGAATGGTTTTTTTTTTTTTAATGCTTCTGTTCTTCCGTTATTGTCTTATAAAGAGAGGGATGTTGGTAAGCCTGAACGCACAGTCTTCCTGAACGTTTTATTCTGTGGCGTCGGCGGCAGCGGCGTAGATTGTGGACTAGTGACTTTAGGGAGCCGGCTCTGCTGGCTGGCTGCTCCAGAGGCGTGTGCCGAGTAGCAGCACCTTTGGCCCAGGGCAGCCTTTGCAGGCGCCGGATTGATGGGTTGCGAGGGGCTTTTTGGCAGATGAGAGAGGGATGACGCTTCCTTACCTTCTTTGTTTGTCCCCTTACTACATATTCTTTCCTCCGCCCCATTTTCCAGTTCCTCTTCTCCCACCCCCTCTGTTTGTTTGCCGGTTTCTCCTCCCCCCCCCGTTTTTGCTTCTTTTATTGGGGTGGGGGCGGGCGAAGGCGTAGGAGAGAGAAGCTGGAGGGAAAATGCATGATGTACTGTGCCTTAAAACCTGAAATCCGGAGAACACCCCAAAGCAAACGCCAATATTGTCATCCCTTCTCCCGCCCTGGCTGGCCTAAAGCAGGCGATCAGCACGTTTTCGGTACTTTATTGATCTTTTTTTCTTTCTCGGGGATTGTAGGTGCAGATGCATGTTGTGTCTCTCCAGCAGTGCAAGGCAGGCTGCCGCCCCTCTTTGAGAGGCGAGACACTATTGTGGTGATCAGCGTTTTCTCTGGGAGATGGATGGCACCTTGATCTCTCCCCAAAGCAGTCATTTAAAAGGAGTTAACGCTGAACATCCATTCTCCCCTGTAAGACAAGAGCTTGGCAGCATTAGGGGTGTGTGGGCTGGAGAGACGGAGGAGGGAGGGTGAGGCTTGCTAGTGGCTGTGTTTGAAGTGGGGAGATTCAAAGCAGAAGCTGACAGTTTGGGTGTTAAAGTGTGTGTGTGTCTGCGCGCGCGCGCGCGTGTGTGAGAGAAATGCTGGCTCTGTGCACGCGTGTGTGTGAGAGGGAGGGAAGGAAGGAAAGCGGGTAGGGGAGGGGGCGAAAGTAGAAGAAAGCAGCCTGTTGTTAATTGCCTAGGTTACAGTTCCTGCATCCATGCCTGCCTGGACTCTTCCAAGTCCTAGTGCCTTCCCTGTTTCCAGGTTGTATGCATCAGGTACAGCTGGAGAGTTCTGTGGTCTTGGGTGGGTGTGTGGCAAAAATCTGATTCTGAAAGGGAGTCTAGCACTCAGTTAAATTCAAATGTGGGCAAAACGTATCTCAATCTAGCATTGCGTATAGAATTTGACTAACTTCCTCTCTGGCAAAGGTATTGTGCTATTAATGGTTGCCCAAAAGGAAGAAGGTGGATCTTTATCCAACAATCCATTCCAGGCTTTGGATCTGGACATTTTCTGCTAATTTCTGCCTGTCAAATTTCTGTTAAAGGTACAGGAATCCATCATTAGAATGCTGACAATCCAGTGTGAATATGGTGGACCCTCATAACGTCGTTGGAAGCCTGACTTCCTCTATGATTTATATTATTTGGTCTATTACTGGTGGAACTTTGAACACAACCTACCGTATATAGCTTGGCCCAAAGTATTCTGATTTGGGGTTGGGAGGAAACAAAGTAATGCACAAGCAGAAGTATTTTTTGGGGTTGAGATGTGAGCACTCGGACTATTGTGTTCTCATGTGACATTTTCCAACTAGCAGGGGTGGCCAGTACTTTTTGCATTGGGGACTGGTAAAGCAGAAGGCAGGGAGGTCAACTGTAATAATAATAATAATAATAATAATAATAATAATAATATTTTTTATACCCCGCCCATCTGGCTGGGCCTCCCCAGCCACTCTGGGCGGCTTCCATAGAAACCAAAAATACACTGTAACTGTAGGTGGAACCAGAGCCAACTAATTCTCGTAATGTCCCCATCTTCCTCCCTGCTGAATTCTATAAGGGCAACACTGAGACTAAGAAGGAGGAAGCTAACAACATAAGAAGTGCCTGCTTGATCAGGCCAATGGCCCAACTCATCATCCACTTCTCACGGTGGCCAACCAGATGCCTTTGAGAAAAGTATGACGGCAGGACAAGTGACAGGTGGCTGAGGGCAGGCTGAAGTTGGTGGGGCATTGGCCCATTTGCCTTAATAGACGATCCTCCATTGCCAACTAGAAATGACAAGCTATTAAATAATAGATGGCAATCTATGAGAGAGATGGATGGGTGTGTAAATTACATATTAACACACCACACCTTCCGAGCAGTAGCAAGGATCCAGGTTATGTTTCCATTGGAAAATCAAGGTGCAGCCAAGTTGGCAGAGTCTTAGAAATACGGTTTATTCATGTTTATACCAGAAGCCTTCAATAGAGGGGGGTACAGAACATTACACCCCCAAGCGTCTCTCTCATTGCTCCTCTCATAGTTTCAGCAAGGTTGGGTCCAATGCAGCAGCCAATCATGGCCACTGGTCTCTCAGTGCAGCTTCGTAGTGCCAGCACTGTATGGGGTTCTCCCTACTCCCTACTTTCTCATGCGTGTTCGCTTGCCAAAAAAGGACAATTTTTTTTCTGTGTGACTCCACGCCCATGTTTCCCAGGCAACCTCCCCCTCTACCTTTGCCTTGTAGATGGCAGGGCCATCATCTCTGTTTGGTTGAAAAAAAGCTTAGCCAGTCAGCTTTGATTAAATTCCAGTACGCCAGGATCTAGAGTGGGAAATCTTGCATCCAGGGATCTGGGCATCCCTGTTTCTACACTAACCCATAACACTTTATTGATTGATTGATTGATTGATTGATTGATTTAATTTAATTTAATTTATATGCCACTCTTCATCAAAAGATCTCAGGTTGTTTCACAAGATAAAACCATGAGATAAAGGCACAAATAAATAGTTAAAACAGAAACAACTAAACAATACCTCCTACAAACACACTTCAAGGCTGTAGAATATTAACTGGCCAGAGACCTGGTTGAAGAGGAAGGTTTTTGCCTGGTGCCTAAAGGTGTATAATGAAGGTACCAGGCAAGCCTCCCTGGGGAGAGCATCCCACAAAAGGGGAGCCACTACAGAAAAGGCCTGTTCCCATCCTCCAGACCTCACATGGAGGAGGCACATGAAGAAAGGCCTCAGAGTCCAGATATATATATATCAAATCTAGCCTTGCTCACCCTGGTAACCGTGGTGTCTGGGGCTGATGTGGTCCAGAAACATCTGGAGGACCGCAGGGTGGTGAAAGCTGCTATAATGGATGGCAGAGTGGACTGACTGAAAATGTCCCAACTGTTGTATTGATGGTGACAGGAAGAGAAGTGCTTGTTTAAGGGGACCAATATATTGACCATAAACCTGTATTTGGAAGTTCATATCAAGTGCAGTTACCTAGAATGAAGTGCATTTACTTGATTAGCAACTAAGCCCGTGTCAACACTGTTCAGTGCTGATGCATTCCAATGTGACTTTGTGTGGCTTATTCCTGCTGCTGAAACACAGGGCCAGTTATGATGCTACTTAGTACTACTGCACAGAAACCATTTCTACAAGGCTCCATAATGCATTGGAATGTAAGGTTGGTTTTTCCCCCAGGAAAATATGAAGCCATGTCTTATGCCCAGGTGCATCTGGTTATTATGCCAGATGCACCTGGTCTTATGCACCAGGTGCATCTATTGGTGCATCTGGCTGAGTACTAGCAACTCTCCAGGTCAGAAGTCCTTTCCTCTCTTACTTCCTGGGACCCTTAATAGGAAAATGCAATGAATGAACTTTGGACCTTCTGCAGGCAAAGCAGGTGGTTTATAAATGGACTTATGGTCCATTTCCCACTTGTTTCAGTATTCTTGCAATAAGGAAGTGATAATTTCTATGTCACTAATTCATGCTTTTATGTTTGGGAAAAATAGTATATGTATATGGGTGTTGGTGTAAAGGCAACAATCTATTTGCAGAATTGTTGCATAAATAGATGTTGAATTTTTGGAAAAGAGCCCTGGGGCTCTTTAAGATGCTTGCATGACAAAGTGCTCAGATGCCAGTAACATAACAAATAACATAATTTGTAATCATGATAATATTTACTGGAGAATGAATAGTTCAAGTGAGATATTAACATTCCACAGAAGAACCCCATAGCCTACTAGTACCTATATGCAGCTATGAAAAAAGGCAATTTTTGGTGGCACACGCTGTCTTGGGCTAGAGTTTGCTTCACCAGATGCATCATTCTTGGCAATCCATGGAAATTTACGCAATAATACATTTGCATAATGTGCTGGACTATTGTTTCATTTCACCTGCAAGCCATGGCTGGTTGGCTATCCCTGGCTGCTGTAGAATCTCTGTATTTAATAAGATGATCCAATAATAGTAACTTCAGCCTGCAATATCTCATTGCCATTCAGCCACATGATACATAGAATCACATCTATTCTTTAACCAAAATGCCAAGGAAACGTGAAGTACGTGGCTGTTGCATCAAGGAGATAGTCATCACTGCTAATGGAATCCAGTGAGAGACTAGAGCAGTTCTAGGCAGGTTTTACTAAAATAATAATAATTAAAAAAGACTTGCAGGATCCAAAAAGGAAATACATGCCCCAGCATGCCTTTGGATAAGGTCATTTATCCCTTCCCTCTTAGCATAATTAATTATCCAGTTTATTCTATCAGCTTTTAATGAGGATGAACTGCTGAAGGATTAGAAAACATGCTTTCAAAAAGTAGTAATTTTATGCCTCCCTTCTCCATTCAGTAAACAAAAATGTGTGTGTGTGTGTGTGTGTGTAGTACAAAT